TTTATATTGGCACAGTTTATAATAGCTAAAACTTGGAAACAGCCCATTTGCCGATCAGTTCGAAACTGGATAAAGAAGATGGGGTTTTTCTATAAAATGGAATACTACTCAGCCATAAAGAATGAGAAATTAGATTCATTCATAGGAAAATGGACATATTGAGGTTATACTCCTAAGTGAAATATATAAGTCACACATGTGCAAATACAGAATAGTTTCTCTGGTGTGAAAATTTATAATAGTACATAGGATCCTAATGAGATAATTGACAACATAAAATAGGAAGAAAAGGGCTAAAGGTGCAGGGAAAGTGGGAAGAGTAGGGGAAAGGTAATAAGGGAAAAGAAAAAACAAAACATGAGAAAATGAAAAAATGGAAATAAAGTGTTTGTAAATGGGGAGGGGAGGAGGGGGTGAAGGGAGGGCAGGGACAAGGGGAAGAAATGAGAACCAAGACCTGTCGTGTAAAGGTACAGGATCAAATGATGAATGTAACTGTACTGTATACCTAAAATGTACTAATAAACTTAATTTTAAAAATTTTAAATTTGTTGTCTCAATGGAGGAATTGCAAATGAAAGGACTGCTTTGAAAAATAAAAGCCTGGTGCACAGAACATTGCTTTGTGATAGAAGTTACAAAATATCCATGATTAAAAGTGTGTTCTAAAAATATGAGGAAAGGAAAAAATGGAAACAAAGTCCTTGTAAATAGGGAAGGGGGGGAGTGAAGAATGGGGAGGGAGAGGGGAGAAAAAATAAGACCCAAAATTCATCACGTTAAGGTGCAACACCCCAACTATTAATGCAATTGTTCTGTATACCTAAAAACTACCAATAAACTTAATGAACAAAAAAGGCTATTCTATATTTAATTTTATGTTAATTTTATTTTGTATGAATTATCCCCTACTCTTCTTAGGTAGTAAATGGAATTGCTGATTGTGGAACACTATTCATTCTAAACATTAGAATATCATTCATTCAAAATAACAGCACATCAAGGCAAACATTTCCATGCCCAGCAAATTGAGAATCTTAAATAACTGGAAACTAAAACTGAAAACTGTGCTCTAAATAGGCAACCATTTATTTGAAAAAGGACAAAAGGCAATAAACCAGGATTGTCTTAGACAGTGATCACCCATTCCCCTAAAGAAGACTTTTTTTAACAGCATCTTGAAACATAGTGCTTTGAATCTAGAAAAACATAGTATGTAAACCAAACTGGAAGATATACACAACTTCCATAGAAAGTATCAATCACAATTAATGCTACAAGCCTATTAGATCACTAGCAATAGAGAAGTATTATTTATTTGTTTGTTTGTTTGTTTGTTTATTTATTTGTAGGGTTAGTCATAGAATATAGAGTCTCACGTATTAGGCAAACATTCTACTACTGAACTGCATTTCTATCCTGAAAAGTTTGAAAAGAAACAATATTATTTTTAGCTTTTAGATATATGTACAAGAGCCCAGTGACTTGCTTAGAATAATTTCAATAAATATTTCAAAAGATATATTACCTAATACAAAAACTTGAATGCAAAGGTTAGTACTTTCTAGATATTATATTTTAATAGTAGTAAAACCAGTGATGATAAAAAACAATGACATGACATGTTTTTATTTTTTATTCTTTTCAAAGATATTTTCATGTCACTGTTACAGAAAGATTATCTTTGTACTCACAATTTAGCACCTCACCTGTAATTTCTAAACATCTTTATTCTTTAATATCTCCAATATTACTGAAATTTTAAGCAAGCTGTACAAATATAGCACAACATATACATCCAGGAGAATCATTGGATTATAGTAATTTCTAATTGCAATGTAGACTCTCCCAACTTGGAAAATTACTGTAATATTGCTGCATTTTTATTTAATACAGTTTTATAAAAACCAACATAACTTGGATATTTAAATAAAAGCAAACTTATTGAAATTACATTTACTTTATCTTTTAAATTGATACTCAATGTATTTATTTTTATTTTAGGAATTTTTAAATTTTTACTTAATTTTATAAGTACATTTAAGGTATACAATTTAATGACATTCATCATTGGAAATTTGCATCTTTACATAATCCATCTTGGTTCTTGTTTTTCCCCCTTCCCCTGCCCTCCCTTCAACCCCTCTAACCCTACCTATTTACAAAGACTTTGTTTCCATTTTTTCTTTTTCTCATGTTAATTCAATTCCCATCTTTCTTTTCCCCACCCCTCCCATTTCCCCTTTCCCTTTGCACCTTTTCTTCCTATTTCATATTATCTATGTATTTAAATTGATGTGAGTAGTATTTTGCTAAAAACTGATTTAATTAAAACCTATAAATTTGAATTTTTACCTACTGAAAATTGTACCTTCAACTACCTACCTCCTATCTATAACAATAATTATAGTTTAATGAAATTTATATTCTGAACTGGGGATGTAGCTCATTTGTAGAATGTTTGCCTGGCATGAACAAGACCCTGGGTTGGAGAAAAAACAAATATGTATCTTATTTTCCAATTATAGATAAAGATCTTTAAACAAACTTTCAGTCTCTCTAATAATAATAATATCATCAATAAGCAGTCATTGTAAGTTAATAAAAATATGTTCTTTCTCTGATAAAACTGTGTTTGCTATGACATTTAACACATCTATCATCCAATGGTGATTTCATTACCTGATTTGTTTATTTAATGTAAATATTAAGAAAATGGCATCAAAGAAAAGACAGATCTTTATTTAATGTTGTGTTATATAGCAATGTAAATTATCTATGTTTAAAAAATCTTAAGGATGCATTCAGCTTCTAAAGTAGCACCTTACCAAAACAAAAAATATTTAAAACATAATTTATTTGTATTCTGATCTTGACCTTGTATTCTGTGGATCTGTTTTGATCTGTTTTCCTAGTAACAAACAAAAGAAAAAGTATTAAAGAATTAGCAAAAAAAAAAAAAAAGACATAGCAAGTAGAATCACTAAACTCTAGTGAGTTCTCTTTAAGACTGAAGAGATTATAATAAAAGAGCTTGGTTAAATAAAAATGTACAAAGAAAGAAAGTGAATGAAGAAAATTGCACCAGCAGAGCAGCTGACTGTAACAGAAACAGTAGTGGACGTCAGAGACTCTGAAGCAGGCCTAAAATTCCTTAAAAAATCCTCAAATCTGCAGAGGAAGAAGATGGAGAAAATAAGAGCCACAATGAATAGTTCTCATAAATGTTTTGACTGAGTTTTTTTAATGAAAATACTTGTGAAAAACAGATAAATCTGAATATTTTGGAGGCTTTGCACTCTTAAATGGTTTGTCAAACGTTTTTCACCTCTGGTAACTATTGTCTACTAAAATGGGGTTCCTATTTTTCCATATTGCAACTATAGAAATGTTTTTCCTTCTAACTTACATTGATCATTGAGAATTTTGTTATTGGAATCATCCAGACATTAATATTTTGATTGCCTATAACTTTTTAAGAAAAAGAAATAATGTACTTTATGAATGAGGGTTAAATTTGCTTTGCAAGGCCGACTGATTCAGCTACAAATCTTTGCTTACCATAACAGGAGATTGTTTTTTGATGGCTTTCTAACTTTGCTACATTAATGTGTCTGTTGAAACACTTCATAAATCCAGATATGAAGTTCTTTAAGAAAATTAATAAAAATCAGAGTTAATTCTTCTTGCTTACACATATAAGTACAACTAAAGATGCACATTTTTGTTACCTTGCCTTCTGCATTTCTGTAACTGTACAATTTTGTGTACATGGTATTTAAAACTAATATGAAAATAAGCACCAAGTAGCTTAAAACCATAAGTTAAAGCAGTATTCATGTAGACAACAGGAGAACTTGGATTTGGTTTACTTAATATTATTATGGTACATACAATTGATTCTTAAATGAGGTCTTTTTTATAATGAGTTTTTTAAAGATATCTTCCAGAGAATTTTGAGTTAAGTAATGATTCTCTGAGATACGAACAATCGCTCTATTTGATAGTGACCCTTGTGGTTTCAAGGTGACCATGACAGTTTTATTTCATCGCACAAATGCTTTTCATTGTTTGTATACACTTAGAATCTAGGCAATATTAGGTACAACCTCTAATTATTTAGACTCCTCGTGTCAGGAGTGCTATCTTTGTCCAAACTGTAAAGAAGTTTCCCCTTGTATCTTCCATTCTTTGATTGCTTTCCTTCCTTGCTTATGCCTTCTCCATACTCTCCTTCTGACACCACCTCCATCGATCATTTTTTTTCATGTATTCAAGTTTCATACAATTATTGATAAAAGGAGTAATGCCTATGTATCAGGCTGTTTTGAAAACAATTGTATATTAAAAATAATTCTTAAAAGTAGAGAAAAATAAAAGGGCAATATCAAAAACATTAAGCTATTTCTGGTAAGACCGCCCACTACACTTGCTAGGTCAGGGATGGTGGCAAGAAATCTATGCAGAATCAGAGAAAATTTTATTTGAAATTATAAAGGGAAGAGACAAGGCTGTCACTTTTATCCTCCCCTTATTATTCTCCTTCCAGGTATTGTTCTGGACTATGTTGATAGAGCAGATTCTAGAAAAGAAAGAAAGAGGAGCTAATGTTGTTCCATCCATAGCCACTTTGCAGTTGATGAGAAAGAGATAATCATTGTGGTTAACATTCATTGGTAATCACCACAGCTTGCACGTCCCTTTCCTTCATTTAACGTGCCTGCATTAGCCAGTAACACCAACCCATCCCGGTCTCATCTATTGTGGCCAAGATCCCTACTTAGTGATACGAAAATTACCAAATACAAACAAACTCTCTGCCAAACACAGAACAAAGAAGGCCAAATTGCAGCCATCTGGGAAGCACGAGACAGAAACCTGCAGCAGAGTTAGGTTAAACCAACGAAGTGGATCCAGCCCTCGAGGAGGGGATCCAAAACACAATTTTTGCTCATACTTGACTCTAGACATGACACTGAAGTCCCGGTAAGCAACCCTTTCCCTGAAGCGTGGTCTGCCTAGATTATTCTGTTATGAGTCAATTTTCTTTTATATATAAGTTAAATTCAGGTTTTCTGAAACACCCCTGTTAAGAATGTAAATGTAAAGCAGTGACTTTTTCCAAGTTAGACAAAGTCAGTCAACTGGTATCAAGGTAGATAGTGGGTGGTAGGAAGCAACTATATAAGGTCCATGTAGATAATATTAATATGCTCAGGTCAGGTGAAAAGCTCAGATTCTAGGTTTGGGTCTTCGAGCAAAGGTTGGGTAGTTGACATAAACATCTTCATTGTCATCTTCTACAGGTTGACGGGGCGCGAAGGGACTCCTGTAGTTGTTGACTGCCTACAAAGACAAACAGCAGCTGGTGTCAGTAATCCCCTGTATATCAATAAAGACACAACATAAATATCTCAATTCAGGCATGATACAAGTCAAATTGCATTCCATTAAAAGCAATTTCATAAAACATTCCCTTTATTATATGTCATTTCAATTTATAGGACACTGAATGAGATGCATCATTCACCTGATCTAGATTATTAGTTGCTCCATTGCTATCAATTACAAGTTTAGAGGCAGAATGCCTTCCAGTAAGGGAAGGCTATTGGAATAAGAACAATTATTTCTGGTTTTTATATGGAAAGCATAACATAGTATTTTCCCTCCCGTGGGTACCCAGTAGTGTCTACTGAATAAATGTCTTCATAATAAAAAATAAATATGTTAAGGGACACAGTGTCCTAGCTTTAAAAATGAGCAACTAAACACAATGAAACAAATTGGCAAAGAGGCATTCTCTTTCAAGGTGATGCTGCATAATCCTTAGTCTTCTCTACCCTGATCAAGTTACTTGAACCATGTATGTATGGGTATGTGACAGAGAATACACAGGTGTGAGAAGGCCAGGTAGAGAGGAGAAAGATACAGCGACAGAAAGAGCAAGAGTGAGAGCAAGAGAAGGGAAGGGGAAAAGAGAAAGATATTTTGGTGAATAGTTTGGAAATTTAGATTTCGATGTTTGTAAGAAAAAGCAAAAGGAAAATTCAAGTGTCTTGTTACTTATATGTCCTATCTAAGAAACATAAAAGAATTAAATAGATTGTCTCTTAGAGTTCAACTTCCTAAGCTTTTAATCATCCTTCAAAATGCCATTACTCTACAAAAGGCAAGTTGTGTTGGATTTCTAATGTACAGTAACACAGCATCTTCCTTCCTCAAAATTCATAACAATATGCTTATCTTTGGGTTTGTTTGAGTAGGAAAACAGCTAAGCACAGAAAAATCAATTCAAAAATCAAAAAGGATAGAATACCATTTTACTGTGTGCTAAGGTAACACATGAACCAAGACAAGGCTTAATTATTCAGTTTGTGCTGAGAAACAAGCCAGAAGTTAGTAAAGAGTTTTTTTGTTTTGATTTTCTGAGTAATTAGTTAATGTTCAAAAAGTTCAGTTGATGGATTGAATAAGTGTGGGATTTTTAGTAATTAAATTTTTGGGCCATGCAGAATTCAAGTACAGATAATTAAAGTGAAGAGAAATTGACATAATTTTGGGTAGTGCTTGAGAAAACATTAGTCTTGGGGAGTTCAGGCTGCTATCATAGAATAGCACAGGCTAAGAATCTTAAACAATAAACATTTACTTCTCTCAATTCCGAAAGCTATGAAGTCCAAGATCAAACTTCTGACTTGTAGATGACTATCCACTTCATAGGTTCAATCTTTTGGTGCAGAAAGCAAAGAGAGTAGTTGCTCACATCTCTTGTAATAAGGACATTAATTTGACTCATGAGGAATCCACTCTCATGACTAATCCCCTCCCAAAGGGCCCTGCCAAGGCCACACTCTAACCATTGGGATTTTAAGATGTGAATTTTGGAGGAGGAACACAAGCGTTCCATCCATAGCAACATTTTATTGTGAAATTTAATAAGCAATTGTGCTAAACAGTGAAATGAACTTGAAAATAAATATCACTCTTATCTACAAACTCAGATGATTCTATTTTTAAAAATGTAATAATATGAGGCAAAGTAGAATGAGGAGGAAAATTTTCATTCATCAGATTCCTGTGACTGATGAGAAAGTACTTCAGTTTTACAATTTAATTTGATCATTCATTAATTAATAAATTAACCCAAAAGCAATAATAGTAATGAATTTATGACTCATGCCTTACGCTTCTGAGTCATTCATGTAGTTTAATTTAATCTGCACAATAATCTTATGACATAAAAACAATGTTATACTCTGCACTGAAGTGAATAGAGACCCCAGAAAATTCTTCCTTCTCCGAACTTCATTATATCACTTTACTTGAAAATAAGATCTTTGCAGATGTAAACAATGAAAGAAATAGCAGGCTGTTCAGGCACAAGTGGGATGTAGGCCTTACCTCAGTATGAGCAGTGTTTTTATTAGAGAAGAGAAATAGACACAAGAGATCGCCATGTGAACACAAAGGCATAGATGAGATGTGTCTCCCAGGTAGGACTGCCAAGGATTACAGACAGCTGCCAGAAGCTTCAAGAAGAGCCTAGAGCAGGCCTTGCTCCAAGGTTTGGTAATGAGCAATGTTGACTGCTATTAGGCCAGTGCTGCTGTTCCTGTTATTTATATTGATGCAAAGAAGCTTAGCATCAAAGGGTATAATAATAAGAAAATAGTTGAAGTAACTGACACTTCAATTACAAGCAACTGCATGACCAGGTTATTGAAAGGAAAATAAAAATTAAGACCCTTACCTACAAACACAGACTTTGTAAGATATTAATGAATCACAAGAATGAAAAAAAATAAACTCAAATGAACTTACCTTACTCTGTGTATCCCAGGAACTTTTAACTGGAATATTTTTCACTCTTCTTTTCCTTCTAAAATGCATATTCAGTAGAGAATAACAAGACATCACACTCCAGCACTAGGGTCAGTTCAGCAACTTGATACCTCTCCAAGTCTCCAGACCACCTGCACTTACTGAATATGTAGATGTGACTACCCAGACTACCCAGGGTGGATTCCTGCACATGTAACCAACACAGTGATCTAAATAAACTTCTTTTCCCTCTCACTACCTTCTCCAATGTGCTCAGAAGTGGTGAGGACAGTTATAAGGCTATTCT